TAAAGTTTTACCTACAATGGAGGACTGGAGATTGAAGGTTTCGCATCTTGCTGAAATGGCAAAAATTTCGGCTTATCTGAAGGATCACTCAAATGAACAATTTTTATCAATATGGAGAAGATGGATTGTTTATATTCAAAATAAGCATAGAATGGTGGAATATAATTTAGGTTTTTAGATAAAAACTTTTTTTTTTTTATATATATATATATATTTCACCTACTTATGTAGAATAATACTTTGTGGAGTTAGGGATATTAATACTAGTTTACTTTTAGTTGAATAGTATCCTGGGATTAGGTTTGGGAAGTCCGGGTGGGGGGTGGGGGGTAGGGGTTTTTACACTGTGATGTATCTGTGATGTGTTTTTTTTTATGATGAAAATAATAAAAACTTATATTTGAAAAAAAAGAAACAGTTGGAGACATGCACTTTTAACAAAAAAAATATTAAGTTACCTGAGTTGCATGGTGAGCTTCGGAGAGTAGTAACCTTGCTGGTTGATATAAGCATAGTTGGATTAAGACTTCAGCTTTTTCTATCCACAAGTAGGGGAGAGAAAGCCCATTTAATTCTTTTTCAGTAACTGCATTGAGTTCCAAAATCTGGAAATAATTTATTATAGAAAGTATCCTTTTTAAAATGTCTATGTTTTAAATCATTAATTATAAATTAAAATTAATTATGTTAGAAATATATGAACTTAAAAGCTCAATCAGGGAACATAGTAAAGTATAGATATAGTTAATTTTATAGGTTACCTTTTTTATTATGAGAGCAATAAAACATATACAGACAGAAAAATGGGTTGAGCTGCCTTGCAATATTCATACATATATACAAGAGGAATATTGGTTACCTTATCTTTTGTAGTAAACAGCTTCTTTCTTTGCTCTATATCTATTGTTGTCCAATCAAAATTTTTATTTTCCATTTGGTTATCCTGTATGGCATTCTCATTTTTAAATGCAATCTCTTGTCTGAATCTGAAACAGGGAAAGAAAATATTAATGTAATTGGTTAACATAGACATAAAAACCCTGTTATATTAGCCTATTGTTAAGCATGGAATCACCTTCAACGTTATTATGCCAGCCTAGTAACCTATATATTTATGAAATTTATTACTGCAATCAATTTTGGAACTGCATGAAAGAGAATTGAACTGGTTGATGGGATTCTAACAAATTTTGGAAAGTTATCTATGAATGCTCCCAGTACTCCACATAGGCTGCTTTAGACTGGAATATACAGCAATTTGTTATGTATACAAACCTGACACTTAATTATGCTATTTGTTACATACCTTCCTTGTTCCTTTTCATTAATAAAGACATCACCCACTGCCTTTTCATGGAAAGATGCTGCTTGATACATTTTTAAATCTAAACATATTTTGGCAAGCCTGTGAAAGCAAATGACATATCTTTTTGTAGTATAACACTGATATCATACATATAACTCACATGCAAGCATACATACATACTGACAAAGAAAAATCTGATTCAAATCCACATAAAAGAGCAAGTGATGTTTGCAGTAAAAACAAGTTTAAGGTAAAATTTCCTCAACCAATAGTGCTTTTAAACAGCAGGAGGAGAAGATGCAAAGAGAACTTCAATTGTGAAGCCTAATTGAAAAATGAATTACTCCTAGATCAGTGGTTCTCAACCTGTGGGTCGGGACCCCATTTGGGGTCGATCGGCCATTTCATGGGGGTCCCCAAGCAAGGCTGTCCGCCATTTTTTTGTCCGCCATTTTTTTTGTCCGCCATTTTTTTCCCCTTTTCCGGCGGGTGCCTTACCTCCCTTGGGCTGGACCAGCTGGTAGTCGGCCTGCTCCGTCTCTGCCGCTTGCCAGCTACGCCTCGGCCGGCGCAGGGGGCGGAACCACGCATGCGCAGCGCTCCCGGGCAGGGAAAGTCCTCGACTTACGACCGGTTGGGTAGTCCTCGACTTACGACCAGTTTAGTCCTCAACGTACGACCGGTTTAGTCCTCGACTTACGACCGGTTTAGTCCTCGACTTACGACCGGTTGGGGTCGCAGCATTAAAAAGGTTGAGAACCACTGTCCTAGATCCATTTAGAATTGTATTTAAGTTAGACTTCATATTTTAAAGCAGCAATGTAATAGGTTGAATTATCCACCATTGCTTAAAAGAAGCAATATAATTTGACCTTCAGTGAACTGGAAAATTATTTAGCACAAAACTTTCAACAATTTCAAAATTAGTTCATACAGCTAGAATCACATAGAGATCTCTGCCTACCTGGAAAACTCAGATGAAACTTATCCAAAGTAGCCAATGATAGCTGTGATTACAAATGGAGTGGAAGAATGGTGGCTGGAAAAGCAGATATTTAATGCTCTTTTACCTGTTACATCTCCCAGCAAAGGACTCCACACCCACTGATGGTGAAATTTCTGTATATGCTTTTGTCCCATTAAAAGCAGTGAAAGATGGAAGAAGCAACTTCCAAGTACTGGTTTCTACTGCTACAGTCGCTCGGATCCGAGAAGGCCTTGACTCTGACTGGGTGGCCCCGGGGGAGGATACGGGAGCAGGTCTTGAGACTGTTGTATGGGAGGAGTTTGACTCTGTGGCTCCCGAGGACGTGGACAGGATCTTGGGGAGGCTGAATGCAACCACATGTTTACTGGATCCGTGCCCCTCCTGGCTAGTACTGGCGGCTCGGGAG